GCTGAAAGGCCATGAGTTCGTGTCAATATCTTATCACATGCCAACGACCTGCGAAGTCTGTTCAAAGCAACTGTGGCATATGTTTCGGCCTTCGCCAGCCCTCGAATGTCGAAGTGCGTGTTGCATCTTAATTATTTATTTGTACTTATTTATACATACATATATGCTTTTTTTATTCTAAAATTGTATATAAAACAAATTTTATTATGCATAGGGTGCCGTATTAAAGTTCACAAGGAACATTTGGATAAGAAAGAAGATGCCATAGCCCCGTGCAAACTACACTACGATCCGAACAGCGCCCGTGAGCTACTGCTACTCGCTGCTAATCCTGAGGATCAAAAGTATTGGGTCTCACGACTGTCCAGGCGCGTCCAGAAATGCGGCTACAAGGCGAATTCGCATATGGACGGCACGGGACAACGCGTCTCGCCAAGGTAGCGTAGCTGTGCTGCTGCTCGACGTGAGCGGGGACTAAGTAGCTCTCTTATTTTGTGACGTCGCATGATGTGGGTGTAGAGAGGTTAGACTCGTTTGTTTTTTCTTTCAACTTTTCCCTTCTCTTTTCATTTCCATCCAACACTGTCTAATACTTTCTGTTTTTTTTGATGCACGACTCGTTATGTGCACAATTGATATTATAAATAAACGGTCGCACCTTTAACGTTATTTAACATAAGTCAATTTAGACAAAGTCGTTAAGCGAAAACTAGTAAAATTTTTTATAAAAATAGAATAAGATAATTAAGGCGAGTGAAGTAACATTAATTAACAACGTTTTATCATTAACGCAGACAAGTTTCATTTTTTTAAAAATAGTTTAAATATAATAAATTGTGTATTTATATATTATATTTTTAAATCTTCTATTGATTTTATCTGTATATAATCAAAATTGGAAGTACTTTATATTATACCTTATTACGTTATCTCATGTTTATTTGTCGTAAAATTTTTCAATTGGGAAGAAAAAAAATAATTATCTCTAGGCCGATTTTGTATATATTTGTGTACATAATGCATGACATTAATTGTGAATGATAATCAAAACTGATTGCGCAATTAAATTAAGTATGTTAAAAAATATGTGTCGATTAAGAATAGCATGTTCACATGTAGATGTTTCACGCACGAGAACATTTTAGCTTTCATTATAAATTATTAGATTAGCATTACTCTTGCATCATCTTTCAATTTGCACAAACAATCATTCTATTATTCTTATCCGTGCTTTTGGTGCTTTAACGGCTTTGCAATGATTTTTCATTATATTATCAATTGAATGATATGTAAGCAACAGATATATGTGACAACAATTTCCTTTTTAGGGAATCCACAAGGTCGACCTTGAAGCCGTACTTATCGGTGCAACAACGATCTGCAACATTGCCAGCGAACGCTAGCATGGGCAAGTGATCCTGGAAGAGATTAGTACTGGCGATTTAAAAAAAATTCCGCTTACAATCTGATGTCCCACTACCTTCGATAACGAATGGAAATATCAGGCCGTCGTAATTAACTATCGCGACCTCGCGATTTTCTCTACGCACCTGACGACCGCAGTAGACTGTCAATAATTTCCTAGATTGAGAGCAATCGAAATAGCGATCGCGTAATATTACTATTTGCAGCTAAGAGTAAGTGTGAAATTCAAGTTTGAGAATCGCTGGAGAAAACAGGGTTACTTATATACCGGATGATAAACGGATATGATAGGGGAGGGAAAATAGTCTCTTTGCGCGCCATTGTCGTTCTCGGAACGATAACATAAAGTCACAGAGATGAGCTGTGTTCTTCGGAATTCTAGATAGTTTATTCGTGAGCGACGATAAAATAGTGTAATAATCTTTTTGTACATTGTATTCATCATACTCACGATAGACTGTAAAACATTCTTTCGAAGGATAATCGAATTTCTGTGATGATTTTCCTGATTGGAATTATACTCGACTTTGTACGCACATTTCTTACTGCCTTTGATAACGTGTAATGTGAATCTTGATGGAAACTTTTAGCTTAAGTCATTTTTTGGATGCTTTAAACCGAAATTTCGGAACTTGTATTAAAGAGTATAGTATTTTGAAATTGTTTTATATATACATATATAGAACGTTTTCCGAGATCGTGTGTGTCAGTAGATACACGCTGATTCTTGTTTTTAACATAACTTGCGTCTTAGAATGGATTTATTTAATGTCTGATATTTGAAGTGTATCTGGGCAAAGTTATGTTTTTTCGAGAAGATATAAATAACTGAACACGCGTCTGAGGATTAACGTTTTTATCAAAGTTTGGCACGTGAGTCGGTTCTGCGGACATTGCAAAAAAAAAGCAATATGCTATTTGCAAAATTGACCACAGCGTATGGTGCGTATAAGGAATATGCGAGTGCCAGCTTTTGTATAGTAAATATTAGGATGATTATGGCTGTAAGATAATGGGGTTTCTACAATAAGTTCATTACCTAAGTTTCAAGTCTTAATCTATAAAAAATTGACCAATCATAATCGAATTATTCTTCTCACATTCAATTCTTATTGATTAATGTCTTATAATTTAAGATTAACTAAGATATATAACTTATTGTAGGAAGCCCGTAATAATTTTTATTATGATGATATACATAAGCTAATGATGTCCGCTGAATCCCGACAGAGAGAATCAAAGACAAAGAGAGAGGGAGGAAGAGAAAGAAAATGTTAAGAGAGGACAAACTAAGAAAATCATGCGTAATTGAGAGGGAGCGATAAAAGCGATAGAAGTGATAAAAGCTTCGTCATGGTGCCATCGGCTTTGCCATCTTTGGCATCAAAGAAGGCTATAAACAAGAAATAAGAGGAAAATTAGGAATGATCTTAGGTTTATTATTAACGCGTCATCGCCGTCTGTGTTCTTTCCAAAATACCTCCGCGAGACATCGTGCCGCGCCGAGACTCGTCGGTATGAAAAGAGCTTACATCGACATTAGTCAAGTTAACTATATGATTAAGTTAAATTCTTTTTCTTCAAAAATTAAACTTATAGTTATCAAGCGAATAATGATTATATGTGTCTTTTCTCTTCCAGAGTCGGAACCTGGAAAGAGATTCGTCTATATTTCTAAGAAGAACTAGGAAAAGTTTTGCTTTTTTTTCTAGATATTTTAATTAACTTTAATTTATGGATGATTTAGAGGAATCAATGATCAGACTTGAATTAAACAATAGAAGAAATAAAAGAAATAAAAATAAGGTTAGTGTTCAGCATTTGTTAGCAAACTTTCAATTAATTAAAAAAGTATTTCTATTTAGATTATAACAATAATTTTTTAAAATCTTTATTTGAATTATAACTAGAATTAAATGAAGAATGAAGAATTATTAAATGAAGGAAATAGTTAACTAAACGTTGTCGGTGTAAGTGACTCCAAGAACTCAGCGAGATGTCCCTCAAATGGTGCTCCTCCCTGTCCTATCCATCCTTTTGGTTCGACGCAGTGAGAATGAACAAGAAGCTGTCGAAAGCTTCTTGTCGCGGTGGTAATTGAAATTAAAAGTATGAGGAAGAGAAAAAGAAAGGTGCATATTGAAATCGAAAAGAAATACCATCCGATATACTGCCCCGTGCCTTCTTCATTGTTTCGATCCTTCATGAGGCGGAACTAGAAGAAAATTGACAATGAGAAAGAGAGAAAGTGTGAAAATGAGAATGAAAATGTGAGTGAATGTGTGTGTGTGTGTGTGTGTGTGTGTGTGTTTTGTGAGAGAGACAGAGAGAAAGGGAGGAAGAACTTGTTACAGCATATTTTATTATTGTTTAGTTATTTACAATCTGTATATTATTAATATTACGATTAAAAGTATTTTGTAGATAATATGTGGCTCTCTTTGATGGTACTTTATGATCACTGACTGCGCAACCTTCAGTTCAATTTTTTGCGATGATCATGTTTTTAAAGCAATTTTCCCTATTTTTTAAATATTATTTCAATTATACTACGATTGGTAGCTTAAAAGCTGTCTTTGTTCTCGATTAATCATGGGCGTGAGTAGAATTCGTCTCATAGAATTAATCGAAAGTCCTATATACTGACAATCTTATAATGCAACATTGTCGTAATCGAGAGTGGTCTTAAGAAAGTCTCCAACATGCAATTAAAAACTATAAACTCGCTATATCATCTTTCTTTATCAGGGTTGCCACAGAGCTAGAACCGGGAGAAGTCATGGATATTGAAATTGATCATGGAAAACTAAGAAAAATCCGATTTTTGCTCACAATTTCTTTAAACTGCTTCTATTCCAAATAATTGTTACAATTTTTAAAATATTATATCTGACCTTTATAATCAAATACGTTCAAAACTCGCGCACTTTAAACGATTTTAATAAAATAATTGAATTGATATTTAATTCAGTATTTTTATTTGATCGCCCTTATTCATCATAATTGCATTCTTTTTTCCAATACTAATTTATTTTTTGTTGGCTTGAATGCCCCCAAAATTACACATTTTATATTGGATAGGAAAAATTTTCCATTTTCAATTGGAAAATCTGAAAAAAATCAGGGAATTTTTTAATTCATTTTCTGTGACAACTCTGTTTATTTTCAATGAAACTTTCTCATTTCAATTGAATAATTTCAATATTTTTGAAAAATGCTGGCAAGCTGGATACACTCAATCTTAATCTCATTTGTGAAAACAATTTTTGAAAGAGATATTTTTCCCAAAACACACGCATGGATTATATAATTCCAATGCAACTGGTAATAAATGATATATTAAAATATATGAAAAACAATTAAGTAAAATTTAAGTAATTCTATTTTTGCAAATTTATCTAGAAATTGATCAACAAAAATATATGTACAAGTAATAATTTTTTTAGAGCATTACAAATTTTTACGCATATGCATTAGTGTACGAATGTTTATTCCATTTAAAATGAATCTATATTTTTCAAGTTAAATAATCTGTATTAAACGGGTAAATTGAGGATTTAAGAAACGAAGCTAACTGCAGCTTAAATTCGTTATAATTTATTTCATCTACATTTGAAATCCTGCGTGTGAATGAGATCATGTGAGACCAGCATGCAAAAATAATACGATGCAAGAATCGAATAATCCATATTAATGAATAATTTTGATTTCGTATTCCAGGTTCTTCGTATTTAATCGTCATGCATAAATTTTGTGAACAGTGTACTCGATCAAATGTCTCTATCCAATTACGCTTTCGTAGTTGCTCTCTATATGGACTAATCGCTTTTTGCATATTAGATCACCTATTTGGATATGTAACGCGGTTTTCGTTCTCCACGTCGTTGCATTCTCTTCACCTCCACATTAGCGAATACCTTTTTTCTACTTTCCCGTGCGCGCGTATTATGTTATTTAAGAAAGTATATTGACTTTCTTTGTCGTTCGTGATAGATAAAAACTTTATTTATCGTTTTACCGATATCTCGTGCAGTCAAGCCGGATGGGACGATGAATTTTATACGTGAGGGATTTATTTAAGCAACTGACGGCTTCTATTGGCGGATCTAGAGATCTACCGAAGCAAGGATATACACATTATGGAATTATTAAATTTATAAATTTACGGATGAATTTATAAGATACAGAAATTTGTTGTTCAAAATACTCTACACGCAATTAAATTAACACGATTTTACGAAATATTTAACATCACATCAACGCACACGTGAACGACTTATATTGGACGACCGGAACGAAGCGCTTTTTAAGCACCACGTGAAATCTCGATACGGCAATAATCTGATATAAATCTTCGTTATATGTACAATACAACAGAGAAGGGATCCGTTCTCGCTAATGATACGCTATTATTTAAAGGCGGAATAATCGATACACTCGTAAACACATGCATGCATGTCGTGGGACATAATCTGACATGAGTTTAGGGGCCGAGCGAATACAGACGAGGAGAAAGAGAGAGATGGAGAATTTCAAACAGTGGGATACAAACGAAGAATCGTTGCTTTGTTCGCTTATGCAATACGTACATACGTAAATTTCTATTTCCACGTGCTTAACAACAATTAATCAAGCTGTAAAAATTACAAATTCAAGGAAAGATACTTGCTGCTCTCCCTTTATCAGAATGGAAACGACCTTAAATTCCACCTTATCAAAGCTGTTTGTTACGTTTTTCAGAGTTTTCGAGCACGCACACCACGGCTTCTAACGCAATCTTTTTTTTTCTTCCAAGCAAAGTTTTCGTATATCATCTTGAAAAAGAGATTTTTCATCCTCTTTCTTCCGAAGAAGCTTTCTTCATTTTTTTTCTCTAATGAAAATTCCGTTCTCAGTTATCGAAGAAAGTTTCTTCATCTCCTCTTTTTTACCTTTTTTTTCGAAACAAATTCTTTTTCTTTTTCTTTTCTCAAAAGAAAAATTTATCCATTTTTTTTCTTTCTTCGCTTTTTCACGTCTCTAAAGCTCGTGGTGCCCCTCTACGCTCGGAGTTTAATTTCTGACGAGACTGCGTAGTCTCGTAGCGAAGGATTATTTTCTTACAAGAGCAACCAGACCGCGATTCAAATGCGTCAATTTTGGTTTCATCGACAGCTTCGTCGGAGCTGGAGAGGATTGCTGATGATTTCGGCTTGCCGCCTGCTGTATATTTTGATGTTTCTTCTTCAACGATTCCTGTTTGGCACCTCTGCATAACGAAATTATTTGTTAATATTCTTTCTTTTTCAATTACTATATTTTTTATGTTAATGTTAAAATTTACGATCAAAATTTTGCTAATCAAAATATGCTTTTTACAAGGACAGAAGTTATAATAAGTCAATAAATAAATTTTGAACATATCTTTATTAAATATGTAAATAATTTCGTGAAAAGTTAATTAAAGAAAAAAAAAAGAAATTTTAATATAATGTTTTTACCGAAAGAATGTTATAAGGTCTTTAGATTATAAATTTTAGAACTCACAAGTATCGAGTGAGATCTTCCACATCAACGAGCATTGAATCTTGCTCCATATGCAAATCGTCTCTCCTCAAAAGACCTTCGACGAGCGCTTCGTTTAATGCGGCAATCCTCGCGTGCAAATCATTCGCTACTACCTGCAGCTGCGCGACATTTAACTCTGTGAGAAGTACACGGGACAACCTGCGTCTGTCCTCCCCCAGCTGTACACCGACCTGAAAAAATGTGCAACATTCAAAACTTTATTAAATAAGAAAGAAAACAGATCTCGGAAAGAAATCTCGAACGGCGTATTAAGATTTAAGATTACATTACAGATTCTACAAATAAAATACTTGTAGAATAAAAGTATGTTAAACATTAAATTTTTTTCTACATTTTTTATTTACTGGTCTAAAGAGTCATAGATGTATTGACATATCTAATAAATTGAAAAATTAGTAATTACGTTTATTATATATATATATATATATATATATTCTCGTTTTTAGATATGTCTATTTAAATTTCATGAATTTATTTTTTAAAAATCCGAAATGCCATATTAATCTTTTTTTAATAATTGTGAAATTCTTTGTTTTAAAACTACATTTTTTAAAATGAATTTTTTTGTTAACAACTTTTTAAGGAGCAATGAGCGATGGCTAAAATTTGTTCAAAGTCACTCGGGGTCATGACTTTGACAACATATGTTAAGGTCATGTCATTGGAAGGGTAGTCCCTTATACTGCATAATTACCCAGTATAGAATCAGCTTCTATTTTAGATGTTTTAAAATTAATTCATGATTATTCTTTAATCTCTGAATTATATCCAAACTTGGAGCAACAAGAATATTTTTAACTATTCTGGTAACAGTAGCTTATGTGAAAGAAGTTTTAGTAAATTGAAGTTAATATAAAATTATTTAAAAGATCATCATTAAATCAAGAAAAATTAAATCAAATATAGAAATTCTTTCAATTAAAAATAAAATATGTAAGGATATAGATTTTGATGTAATGTTTTTGATAATTTCGCATCTATCAAACATGAAAAATATTATTGTGATTTTAATAATTATATTTCATTTGTAATATACATGTAAATTTGTATGAGTACAAGATATAACTCTTCTCCTATATACGTTATATTAAATTAATATTAATAGATATATATACTATTAATTACTATTAATTAATGTTATTTCTCATTATATTTCACATGTCATAAAGAAATATTTTTTTTACTAAGGGGCACATTTTTTATTTTGCTTCGAGCGCCGAAATGTCTAATTCTGCATACATGCTCTGTTTTTTTATTCAAAATTTTTCTATCATAAATAATGGAGTTTATATATGACTATATGATATATACTTTAGTATTGTTAATCAATAAATTGAACTCTACTTACTTTTTCTAAACTACATCGCACCATCTCGGTGATAGGACTCTGTTTCAACCTCTGTCTCTCCACTTCCATTTGCATGTGTGCCATTTCCTTGGCTTGTGCTAGGGCCATTCGCGCTTCAGTTTGCAATCTAGCTTGCCGCGCAAAGAAGTCTGCCTCATCGATCGGTGGTGTGGAGTTTGCACCCATATCAAGTCTTAGAGATGGCAGACTCAACATCTGTGGCCTTGTTGGTCCTTTCTGCTTTCCGCCAAATTGTTTTGAGCCAAGGGATGTAGGCGTAGATCCGGGAGATGTGTCATTCTCTGAACCCGGGGACTCTGTGTCCGATGATGTCTCATTCATAAAGCAGATCTGAAGGTTCATTCCTGTACAAGGCAAACACATTCTCGTGATTTTACTTATCATTTAGTATTTTACTCATAAAATATATAAAGGAATTGAACTAGTGATTAATTATCTTCATTTTTTTGCACCTGTCGATAATATTAACAACATTAAATATACATATAAATTCTTTCTCATATATTATATGTGCAAATAAAACCAAATAAATAAAAATATGATACTTCTATGTTGTATATGTTATCTACTAATAACTTGATGTTACTTTAAAGATTAATCGCGCACTTTGTCATTTATTTACTTTAGGCTTCTGAGTAATCACTCCAGTCATATTGAATCGTGATGTCATAAGCGAGAAATGATACGTTGATTTTTTTTGCATACCATTTGTAAATAAAAAGAATTTGAATGAAATGATGAAATCGCTTTTAAATTTGTAAAAATGGACAAAGATATCTCCTCTGATTTTCGTTCATTTTTTACAAATGTTTTAAAAGCGATCTCATCATTTCATTTCATCCAAATTCTCTTTATTTACAAATGGCATGCAAGAAAACTCAACGTGTCGCTTATGACGCCACAATTCAATATGGCTGGAGTGAATACTCAAGAACCTTAAATATTACGATACGATATTTGATAGAAAAAAATTAAAATTTAGATTTATAAACAAACCACTCTGAAGGCGCGATTGGAGACTCGGTTTTCGTCCACGTTCGGCGCGCAAATCTTCGGCATCAGGTCCCATCGCGAGTCTTCTTCTAATTTCTTCACGATCATTTCGTCGCTGCGGACACAACGAATAGATGATATGCGTTAATACGTTTTACATTTTGTATGTGGATGTTAATTATAAAATGCGATAAATATAGTGACTGTTGATAAATATTATAGCGCAATTCGAGAGTCCAAAGTATGTTAAAATGTTTTGTACACTTAATTATAATCATGGTTTACAATTTTTATATAGTTATATAGTCTTTAGAAAACATGCAGTTCTCCAGTTAATAATTTATTACGTGAATTAAAAAATTAAAATTGAAAAGTAGGAAGTATTAAAAAATGCAATAAGACGTTCAAACTGACCTGCTTACAATTAATAGAATTAGAAGTAAACAATAGTATCATACAACAGTTACAAGTTATTAATAATAATGTCCTAAATTTATGATTGCTTTTCGAATTCATGTCGCTACTCGAATCTCGCTAGAATTAGAGCTTTTCCTTTCGCACGTTTGTCTAATTAATTCACACCTGCAGATCGTCATTAAGTTCGCCTCGTATAACTTTGTCGAATCGCGTAATTAAATCTTCCCTTTCGTAATCAGACCTTTCCAAATTCTCTTCCTTCTTTTCTTTCACCTCGGTTTCCATGATCGGTTCCGAAGGTTTATCCATTTCTGTGGTAACTCCTTCATTATCTTGATGCCACTTTTATATATACAAATTAATACTTTTTACTTTTATCAAACGCGTAATACACGCGGCAACATGCTTTATTCTTTTACGAAGGGTGACAGATTTCCGTGAATTCGAAAATATTGAATCAAACACATGTTATAATAATCGAAAATGGTATTTTCTAAACGTCTCTTAAACATCTCCTAAAAATCATGGAGTGCTACAAAAATAATTCATATAGTTTTTAGAATTATAAAAAAATCTTGAATTGCGAATTGTTCGATAAAGTCCTGTGTAATAAGATATAATTGCAATCGCAGCAAGGAAAACTTGCTTGCTAAAATCTGTTTGTTCATTAATAACACGCGCTTCCGTGACCCACTTTCGCCTGTGTCGGTCCGGAACCGTGCCGAATCGTGCGGTTCGACGACCTTCCTGTTAGATTAGAATGACAGCACGAGCAGAAATCTGGAATTATTAAGACTCGGTCCCACCAATGTAAAATTAACTTTAATCTCGGTCCAACTCTTTATCTTTTTCTAGTCCTGGGAATTAAAAAAAAATAGACCAGTAAATTGTGTTAAAGTAAAGTAAACTATATTAAATAAAATATTGACGTTCTCTATCATATTTATGTATTATATATTAAAATTTATGTATATAAAAATTATATTAAATAATAAGATAAATCTTATTGGTGGAACCAGCCCCTAAAGTTTGAGATCTACATCCGAACATTCGGCCCTGACATTCAGCATAATATCGCGGCCGTTCCATGCACGTGCATAGTCACACATAAATGGAATACATGCACGAGATCAATTGAGAAATATTATGACTCATTGTACATTTTGTAAATGAATTCTGATATATTCCCTTACATATTAAAATAATTAACGTGACTCGTTAGAGAGATTCTGAGTAATATTTTAAATCATATATATATATATATATCTGACATTAAAACGCTTAAAAAGAATGCTGGTTGATGATCTCGATTTTTAGTATTGAAATTAAATATGCAATAATAATTATGTTCACTGCTTCAATAAAAATGAAAAAAACACGATAACTTTGATGAAATTGACGAATTATAATAATCAATCATTTTTTCTTTTTAATTTTTATTGAAATTTTTGTTAGATCAAGAATTTTACCATCCTCGATTATCATAGCATTTTTCCTCAAAAAATTATCAACAGAATTTCTTTCTTTTGAATCAATGCTGTAACTTCATTCATTCACATTAAAGGTATTCCAATAAGAAATAAATATATAATAACATTATATTAATCGATTAAAAATTTAAATAAAGATGAAACTTGTCAGATGTAATTATCTTTTTTAATGTATTGTTTGAAAAACATTATAAAAAAGATTTATACGCATAGAAAAGACACCTGGCTAGCAATCAAAGTCGGTCTGTCACTTGGAAACGGAAAGAATGAAATGCCTTGAACATGATACATTCTATACTCTCCAAGTCACAGAGCGGATTTAATTGATCCAATTTTAACACGTCATTCATCAACGTCATTCAAACATTTATATTTTCTCGCGTGACTCGCGTCTAAATTACATCTGATGTATGCTATCGCCCTTCGCATCTCTTACACAATCCAAGTCGTCGTCGTAAGTAAATGTGTAAAGATCGGCGACAAATCTTGAGTCCTTTTTGTAATGTTTGCGCGATTTGTTGCTGCTGCCCATGATCGCGCACTCTCGTTGTGCACCTTCCTATCCTGACGAACCAATTAGTTTCTTTTCTTATAAAATTTATATATCTGTCAGAAACTCGTTTTAAGTTTCTCCAAATTCTTTATACCACTCCTCCCCTTTCGCTGGCTTTACGAACTCGCTTTACGAACTTGCTTTACTTTCTCTCTTCTAGCGCTATCGTGGACAGAATTATAATCTAGAAAGGGAATCGCTGATCGAACTTGGTCTAAGGTTGCAGAGGTGCAATTGATCTCGAGGATGAGCCACGAGACTTGAACGCGCGCGAGACGAAGACGGCACAAGACTGCACGAGACTATATTACTGCAAAGCGAGTCGAGCGATCCGAGATCTTTCGTTAAGGTTTGCTGATCGCGAAGAAGGCGTTCAATAACGATGATGGTGGTGGTAGTGGCGGCTACAGTGGTCGTGGAGGTGGCTCTCTGTCTACTGGAGCCTAACGTTTAGGAAGGCTTCTCACGGGGATTCTCGGTGAAAGTGCTCGACGAGAATGTGTTGGCTTATATGCGAGTCGACTATACGTTTCCGAGTTCACAATTCGCTTCGGAAAATGGGTATAAAGAGAATTGCATCTGATGCTGTCTTCAGCGGACGCCTACAATAGCTTTCGGAATGAATGGCTTGATGTGATGAGACACATTCCCGCAGTTCCGTTTGGAGTCCCTTTCAGGAATAACACACTTTTAGATACAATAAGAAAGTTGATATACAAGTGTGTGTCATATCGATTTTTACATAATACATTTTGTGCTATACATCATGTACTTTATGTATCTCTTGTAGCGTATTGCTTACAATTAGTACATTTGAATAATTTAATGAACACAAACAATATATACTAAAAACACACTTTTCAGAAAGTCTAAAAAACAGAGAAAGTGTAACATTTATAGTAAGAATATGTAAATCGTAATCGTCATCCAAATTTCTTTTTTATCGAGTTCAGTTGAGGATTAAGAAAATATTACAAAAATATAATTTTAAATCTCATTTACACATTAATATATTAAATTAGATTAACAAATTAAATATTAAAAAAAATACATGCAAATACATTTCTAAATGATTTTATATTCCAAAAGATTTTGATCGATTTAGTTTGTTTTCATATTCTCGCATATTCCTTTTCGCATAGAAACAACGTGAATGTTATGCAATTACGATGTACTTCACCATATAATAATCAGATGCATAATAATCAGATGCAGAGATAGAAAGTTATATTCAATTTATTATCGCATAATTATATTATCAACTGGAAAGAAAAAATAATCTGCCGCACGCAAAACGTTATTTATCTTATTGATGCGCTATGCAAGCTTTAACTCTTTCATCAGTCGCATCGTTGTAACAAAAAATCGTTAAATCATCTTCGGGGTCGTGCGTAAAATGTTTCGGTTGATCAGTCATGCGTGACTTTTGCCCTGTGCGCAATTCAACATTTGGAGCACCATGCTGTATAAATTTCTCGGTCTATAGATGGACAATATCCAAAATATGTCATCTGTCGAAAACAACGAAGTAGAAAAAAAACACATGATTTTCCTTAGTGATTGAAAAATTAACACATCTGAATACACACTCCCGATTTATATAAACTTATACTTAATTCATCGTTCTATGTGCTTCGTTGTTGGAAATCATCGAGTGTCAAGGTTTATCAGTCGTGCGATATATTATCGCGATAAATTATCGCGCCTGTTGGTGCTAAATTAATCAGACTCTTCTCCATTCTTCCAACTTTTCTTAATTAATAGTTATTTTACCGTTAAATTCTGATAGATTAAAAAGAAAATTCCACTTTCAAAGGAGCCTCCAAAAAAATTTGAAGACGATTAACTCGTTCCTTTAGAAATCTTGTCTATTCCACAAGTGTTCGTATTAAGAATCTACTAATATGCGTCCACCTACTTGCTGATGCCCCCGCAAAATATTTTTCAATGCAATCGTGAAACCTTAGATAGAACTGCTCTACTGGATGTTTGCCAAACATATTACGATAACTAAATGAGATACAATTGGAATACATCAAGTAGAAAACACGCGCGCGCGCGCATGTGTGTATGTGAATGAACGGAAAACTTTCATTGACCCGAGAGCTTGAGTTAATTTAAGAACTTATCTCTATGATATAAGAAAGAAAATATTGGAAATCAATAGAACTGCATTGCATATCGGAGAATGAAATTAGTTAGATAAATATGCGTATATATAAAATCGTCTTTTTTACGATATTATCTAAAAATGTATAAGATGTGATATTTAAAAAAAAACAATTTGAATTACATATAATTTTAAAGAAAGATATATAATATCCTGTTCCGACATTAAATTTAATAAAATTGCTATAATAATAGTCTAAGTTCGTAATCCTGTTACAATTTAAGTGTTATATAAAAATAACTACTGATTTGTATGGAAAGAATGTTGATTACTTACTCGACGTTCCTCCTCACGTGCAGCTCTAAGATGCGATTCGATCGCATCTAAGTCGATTTTTGGCATCGCTGTCTCGATGTTATAAACGTCGAAGCCACCTTTAATAATACAAGAATGTTAAACGTGAGTACCTTTACCCTATGCCGACGATATGGCGGAGATACTGAACAACCGAATGGAAACTAGTGAGTAACGAACCATCGCGTGTGTGTACCTAAGTAATCTCGAGTGTGATCAGTCCAAAATTAAAGTTTATCTCGTTCGGCCATACTTTTCAAGGATCAATCAATATAAATATATATATGTACATTGTAAATATATCCTATTCTATGTTTTTAAAATTCGTTGCAAATTTTAATATTTGATATCAATTTTTCAATTAAAAATTAAATATTTCATCACTCTGGAAAATTTGAATATAAAAATCAAGACAATCTTATTGTTCTATTCCGTCATATAAGTTCATTAATAGATAATTAATTTTAATATAAGCTTACTTTGAGAGATTTGATCAAGTATTAATATTAAGAATTATAAACCTAAGGTATTGAAAAAATATTCAAAAAAGTAATTATTTAAAAATGGCGTTTTCAAGGCCGTGTGTAATTATTGTACTTAAAAGTTACTGACATTGAGTCGCAATCACTACTGATAATGCAAAAACAATTTTTTTTTCAATTACTAAAAATGAATCAGTTAATTACTTCCAGTAGAACGTGAGTGTCATAAAATGCTCATATTTATTAGAAACGGTTATATGTTTTACACTAAAAATATAAAAGATATACGGAAAATAACAATTTGTGTAAAAAAAAATCGATAATATATCTACGATAGAAGAAATCTATTCTGTACAAAATTATTTTAATACAAGAATTATAAGGTATTAAAAATCAAAAAGATAATAATGTTTAACATTTGAAAACCAATTATAACAAAATATTAAATGATTAAAGAGAAATAATATTAATATTGTAGACATATTACCAAAATGATAATATAGAAACATAAAATAAAAAATTAAAATTGTGAATGAATAGAACAAATAAAATAAAAAAACACATTGAGATATCTACCAGATCCATTATCGATGTCAACCCGACGCTTATCGAGACGCCTCTGAGAGTTAGAGTTTCGCGATTGTTGCTGCTGCTGTTGCTGCTGTTGCTGCTGACGGCGCTTGGCTTGATTCTTAACCATCTTTTCCTTCTTCCGAGCATCGGCGCTGGACGCCTCTGGAAGTTGGCGATCCAACAGCTTGTTAGTATCCATGTGATCCTTAATGATCGAGGTGGACCGCGGTTGTCTCATACTTTCGATCGATTCCATCGCGACCACGTCCGGTACCGGCTGAGCGTATTTCTCAAGATCAACGCCGATGTCCCGGCCGATACTCGACAGCAAATCGATTTCCTCCAGTTTCGTATAGGTCGGTCGCTCCTCAGCGAAGCCTTCGGAGTAGTCACTGTTGCTCTCCGACTCGTCGTCGTCGACCAAATCGCCCGTCGACGTTGACGTCGTCACCGGCTGGCGGTTGCCTATTTTGGAGCGATCTGAATGAGGCAACTCCTTTGCCTCGCGTATTAGGTCGATGTGCTCCACCACGACGTCCTCCGTCTGCGCCCACACCGAAATCATTTGTGTTTAATTGACCATGCACGAGAACATCGCGAATCAGATAGGCGCGAGACCCAATGACAGGAAGTAGGATTAGTCGGGATAGTAATTGTCATGTAAATCAATTGCATAATAACGTTAAAAAGGTCTCAGACAGAGAAGCCGCGGAAATTGTGTATTCTATGATAATTAAGTTTAATTATGGATGAACAACATAGTATGTGCAACAGCAAGATTTAAGGATTAATGAATTCAAGGCGAGTTCAGTTTAGATCGGATATATACAGAAATAAAATACTGTTAAATGTTAAAACTAATTATATAACTAATATAACTAATGAAATTAATACTATAACAATTAAAAATACTATAATTATAATAGAAAGATTAAAATTTTATTGAATAAAATCAAGATGAAATAAACATCTATTTTTAATATTATTTAAAGTCATTTGAATTAGTAATTTTCACCTATTATTATATATTTCTAACGATAATGTTTTAATTATTATATTATAAAAACCGTCGCGTCAAGATATGGTTTTAACTTACAATTAATCTTAATTTCTCTAATGGTTACAGAAAATCACCTTCGAGCTCACCTCGCCGATCTCGCTAGTCTTTCCAGAATCCAGGATCTCCTCGATCTCCGGAAACTGCAGGCTTTCATTCACGCTGGTAGTCAACTCCACCAGCTCAACTTCGACGGGTACTTCCCTCTCACGTTTATCCTCAAAAGTCACTTGCGACAATTCGGGAGCGCACTCATCCACCTGCACAGTGAACAGTGAGTAGTTTAAAAATTTTAATTTTTGACCGAAATATAAATCTCCATAAAAATGAATTTTATGACTCAAAAACACTAAAACTAATCATTTATAAATTATTTAACTAAAAAAATTTACACATAACAATATTTAATTAAAAAATGTGCATTATTTATATAAAAAAATTTATTTTTATATACAATATATTATTTTTATTTACTATGATATTATCTATTTAAATATCTATGAAAAATTATTAAATATATTTTAAATATTTATAGTTTTAAAATTAAAAGCACAAAAAGATTTAAAATTGATAATAAAATAGTTTTAAAATAATTTTAAAATAATTAGTTTTAAAATAATAATAAAATTTTCTAGTAGCTAATGATGATTAACGTTTGTAATTTTTGCAAATACGATAGTTTAAGAATAGAATGCTTTTCGTGTCGTATTTCCACCAGATCTTGGCTTATCAACATGTAAATTAATTCCTTTCGAAATTTTTCTTGAACTTGTTCTCTTATTGCTGCTACTATTTTTTTTTCTGTGAATCTTTAATTATTCCATTTACGAACTTCAATTTTATATAAAATATGAAGAATACATTTGAGATAGTCTTATCCAAGCATGCAGAGGAATGATACCGAGTTGCAATGTATTTTTAATTTGGGTTGAAATACATCAGAATTGAAATCAGTAATATTAAAAAAAAATTTTGAGAGTTGCATTACATATACAGGTCAAGTCTAATTAGAATTTGTATCAGTTATATAATTTAAAATTTTTCCGTCTATCAATGTTAAAAATAAAAATGGGTGAACAATATCCAAAAATTTATCATTTATTAATATCAATACTCATCAGAGTATCTATTTTAGTATCAAACTGGCTTTTTCTTTTAAAACATGCCGTTTCTTTAATGAATTCTACTTTTAGAGGATGGCAGAATCGAATTAATTGTGGGCTTCTTATTCTATATATAAAATAGTTCTGTCATTACTTACTAATCTTAAAAGAATAATTGTGGTTACAGATAAACTCGTCCAAATGCAAACAACATACCTTCCAATATAAAATATTTTGAACGTCTCTCTCTTTCTTTTACTGATAAATGATAATAAAATGATGTATAATAATTTTAAAAATATGATAATAGGACATTATAACATTGCATTTATATTTATCTAAAATAAAATTAAAAAAATAAATTCTAACTAAAAATTTAAAAATTTCAAACCACTGTAATCTGGTCGGCCAGACTCTCCTCCCGTTCGTCTAAGAGCGTCAGGTGAGTTTCTGCCTCGACGATGCCGTTTATGACCTCCTCCGGCTCCGGCGAAAACGCCTTCTCCTCGGATTTAGAGACCTCCACGCTCTTGACGTAGTTGATGCACTTTTCCGAAGGCGGCACCACCGCCTCATACAGAGAGGTCACAGTCTGGAACATGAGAGAGACGAGAGTGGCTGATGATGTCATGAAAGCGAGAGTATGTGCTCGTAGAAGGGTGTTTGATTATTTTTACGCGTTGATAATTTACGTCGACTATCATCTGGTTTTCCTAGTGACAGGTTTATTTTTACTTAGAACGAATTTGCGCGATTGTCATGACGTGACTCATGCAAAAAAATTAGTCCAATCCTTCTTGACGACGAATGTTAATACAGATGATTCAAATGCTCTCTCTTTTTAGAGAGAGAGAGAGAGAGAGAGAGAGAGAGAGAGAGAGAGAGCGAGAGATAAAGAAATAGATAAATTGACAATTCATCAATGATTTTTCTGTAAAATATTTGAAAATTGAAAATCTTCAGATCAAAAAAAGTCCTGGACAAAAAGAAAAAATCATCAACAGATGTATATATTTCTCAAGAAATAAAAGGCCTGTTTTTTATTGTTGCATTCTGAACCGGTGCAATAAGTTGAAATGAAGTAAACGTATATTTAATGTTTCACTTCAACTTATTGTATCGATGCACCAGTTCATAAAATGCAGCAATAAAAAACAGACCTAAAATTGTTCATCAGACACTCAACATCTTCTTTTTTGTCTTGAAAGGAAAAAGAATCTTAGAATGAAGAATCTTAATACAAAATAAAACTTTTCGTATTAATATAACATAAGAGATATTATTAAATATATTATCAAATATATTATATTATATGATGGCGCTCATATCTATACAAATATCTGAATTTTTAATATTCTCGATCACATCTTTGTGATTCTTTAAGTATGATGTTACAAGTACGATCAGTTTGTTCAATTAATGATGAATATATTATACCTGTATATTAAATTTGGGCTTCTCATAAAAGATCTTGCGATCGTTGCGCTGACCGCAGAGATGATTGATACTGTCGTTGATATTGTTATTGTATTCGTTGTCGTTCTCTGGCAACGGAGCTACCTCATCATGGTGATGAAGAGGCGGGTAATCGGAACAACTATCGTGTTCGTCCTCAGTCAGATCTGTGTCCGATAGCAGGGAAGGTGCCAAATGCTGGAAGCCGGGATAGTTGGGATTGACGATGCCGCGGCAGCCTGCCGGCAGATTCCCTTCTTCAGACCAATCAGACCACTCGGATGGCGTCAATTCGTGCGACGAGTTCTCGTGCGGAGAGTTACGCCCTGCAACATTTCGCAGTTACGCTCATCTCAGCATCAGCCGAATAATTGGACGTCGTAGCTCGTGACTCATCGTCATCATCGCGCCAGTCGGCTCGTGCGCTTGTAGGTCGATTGTCTTTCCACCATCAATACTTTACGCGTATTCTCTAAAATTTTTAGAGTGAATTATCACTCTAAAGAGTGCGACTAAATCTCACTTTTAATATATTTCCAGAAAAATTTCAAAAAACGCACATCATGGATCTCACTGAAGACTCATTGTAACTTTGATAGATTGTAACATCAGGATTCAGATTAATATTTTAGACTTCTTTTATTTTAAAGCTCTGATTTAGGAGTATTTGTATAGATCGTAATGATACAAAATTTTACATGCTGTTAAGTTATAAAATAAAGCTCTCCTTTCTTTTTCCTGGAGCATGGAGTATGGGAAACCCATGTGTATGATCTAGAGTTAAAGATTGAAAATTGTGCCATTTTTTTTCAAGACGTTCAATTTTCATTCTTTAGAGTGAGATTCTACTGAAAAAAATTTAGAAAGCACACATGCGACATCGATAAGAACGAATTCCTCATGTTCGGTTTCAAAAATTCTTTGTGTTCGAGAATTCTTGACTGTTGTTAGATTTGTTATCATTAATAGATCAATAGATGTCATAATCAATTATTGGTTCCTGAGCTTTAATTTTATGCACGATTACTGATCATAAAGACTGGTGGCTGTGTATGTCATATCATAAAGATTGATCTCTTTCTATAAACTGCAATGTCCTTTATATGGATCTTTGGTTTTGTGGAACAGATTAACACGCTGGATTATTATCAGCTGCTACGTAGCTTCAAATTATTGTGGCATTATATTGTAATATTAACTCCTATATATAGATTACTGACTTTAGAAATTTTACATTTCATGAATAATTTTATATTTTGCTTCTGCGCTGATAATTTTTAAATTTAGATTACAGTTGCAGATATAAAATGCTTATTAAATAATACCGTAAATCATTGTGTATTGTAAGTTAATCGTGAAAGTGTACCATACTGTCTGCAATGCGCGACCGCGAATAACTTTGGTTAAACTAAAAATCTCGAGCTTGCACTTTATGGATAATGGTTAATGTCAAGGATGTAAAACGCGTTATTAATGGCAGCCACTGGAAAATATCGAAGTTCGCCACACGTGTCTGTCGCGCTTCTGTGACGAAACCTTCAACCGCCATTGTTTTCCAATAAAATCTCGAACATCAGTATAGCACAGCATTTGAAAGGAGCATGACTAAAAAGTAGGCCATTCAATTAATTGCTCGATAGAAACGGAGATCTGCGAAATTAATAAATCTAATGATTCAGATATATTCATTTATTATTACCTAGATATATTTTTTATTAAAAATGTGTATGTAATCAATACAAAAATATATGTTTTTCTTCTAACTCTTTGGAATTACTTCACTTATTAATTTTTGCTTAATTTTTTCGCAAGTTATATCGAAATTTAATCACATGAAGAAGAGAGGAGAGTTCTTATTCTATTCTATTGTACAATTCTATTAATTCTATATATGGGTTGATTACAGGGACGATAGGGCTCACCTTCGTAACCGGTGAGGCTTTCGATGGAGCTGCTACTTTGTATCCTCAGCCCGGTTAGATTGTTGTTTACGTTGGCGGATTGCTCTTCGATCGTGCCTAATAATACAAGTCTCTTACTTATAAATCATTTGCTTTTATCTTTCTCTAAATCCTTTTTATACTCTATTAATTTTCTTTCTCTGAATTTATTTATTTTACATTTTCCTGATGCGAAATCGCATATGATATAATAATAGAATAATATGATAGAATAATATAGATTATCGGCCGCATTATATTAACAATATATATCAATCATATAAATATTATATATATATATAAATAATTTCACGTGAATAGATAACTAGCAGAATACAGATGGCAAATGTTGAAATGTGAGATGATTAATAATGACGTATATTTTACATACAGGATGTTCAGTAACAACACGTAAAGAAAAATTCCTGAGATTATTTAGAAACGAAAATTCCGATACCAAAATATCAGTAATTAGAAATATCACTTAATAAATAACTTTATCTTATCGTGAATATAATCTTTCTATCGATATTAACAAGACACAACGAGTAGCTTTTAGCACTTTACGTTCTACTATCTAAACGTGCAAAATTTAGGCGATTCGCTAACTTTAAATATTTATAAATCATACTATTATAGCTTCGACATTTTGGTACTAGAATTTTCGTCTCGAATTCGTTGTTACAATCTTGACGGGATATCCTATATTATATATAGAGTATAATATGTTTACATACGCACAATCATTTAACTGAAATAATAATCTAATTCACAAATTAATTTTTAATCATCCATTTAATACTACCAGTACATTTAAAATTCTGTAAAGAACTTATTGTGAAAAATATTATCTTAGCCAGAAATTAAACTTGGAATTGAAAAGTTATTTGTAAATTTTTATTTTAAGCAACAGTTTGTGAAATAAGGGTTTAAATATGGCCAATTATGGATTACGTTTAGACGTGCTATATTCAAACGCTGAAGTGCGCGTTTACTAATACCACTGCACGTGCGATTCATGAACAGGTAGCCGTTTAAACATAATCTATAGTTAATTATACTTCAGCTCTTATATTTCCAAAACTATTGCTTGAAATAAAAATGTACACTTTTTTTACTTAATTTTTCGAAGACTTTCTAGCAATGGTATATTTTAATTTCGGGACACACATATACATATATAAAAAAAATATTTTATATATATATATATATATATATATATATGTGTGTGTATATATATATATATATATATATATATA